TATTTATTATGGGAATTTATTTAATAAATCATGATTTTATATAATAAAATTATATTGTACTACTATAACTAAAATCTGAAATTTTCTTTAAATGTCATCAACAAAAAGGCTGGCCAAATTTGTTTTAAAAATCAATCGAAATCAAGACGATTGAAGAGATTTTTTTTTTTCAAATTAAACTTTCTTGTATTTGTGGTGATGAATATGAACATTGTTGTCATAATTCAACGTTTTTCTAGCGTTTTACTGAATATATCCATGAGTATATCTATATAGATTATTCTACAAATTACTATGTAATAAAATCGTAAAATAATAATAACACCCACAGTAAATATCGCATTTACAACCCCAAACAAACAACTATCCAACGAAAAAAAGGTAACAGTAAATTAGTAAATTCAGTGTGAAAGTAGTACTCAATAGCACACCGCCCTCTTGGTCATAAAGTTCGGTGGGTTCATGCCACTAATTATGGCTATTTGGCCATAAAATGTGGCCATTGCTCATAAATGCCATGACTTGGGCCGTAAAACGGGAGATAGCTAGATTGAGCGCGCGAATATGAACGGCAATATAATTCTTATTGTGTGTGTTTATAGATGATACGAAAATGCAATTTTCATATTACACTATGCATAGTGACGCAATTTGCTTATGGATTATACATTTGGGCTTAAATTTAAAATCTCTTTATAATATAATGCTCATTGTCATTACAAAAGAACATCTCTTTGAGAACACAATAAAAAACCTCGAGGGATTTTGTTTTACAGGCGAATTCAAAACACATCAAGTTTAGATATATTTAATTCATCGCTAACCTCAATAAAATCAAAACTAAAGTGGATACCACGCAAAAGGGAGATCCTATAAGTAGCGGTGGATGCAAGTGCAAAGTGAGCATAGAGCTTACTTTACCCACTTTGCAAAGAACACCACAAGGAGTAGACGCCACCAAACGCAACGGAGACGTGAAAGACCCAGGAGGAGATGGCGTAACGAGCTGAATGCTCATATGAGATCTTAGTCTGTAGAGTCGTTAAATCGCTATGAGTCCTCAGCACCGAGTCATAAAGGTAGCAGCAGTCCCCATAAACGACCGAACTTATGCTTTATGGAGATTTAAAAGCTGTTCAATTGTGAATGTCAGTACCAGCGTCCACAAATGCACATCTTGTATTCCACGATACACTTGAAATATCGGAAATGTTTATAGATGGTGGTTACCCATTTCCACAAGATAAAACGCCAAACGCAAAACCAGTAAACGTACAGGTTTTGAAACAATAAACATGCAAAAAACTGCATTGAATTGGGAATATCACGTCAACAACGTATTATGACGCTTTTTGTCGATGGCTAGCAAAGGACATACCTAACTATAGACAAAAGAAACTCGAGGCTAAATCCATAGTAAAATGTATGGGTTTCGGTGATACAATAGTTTATTTATGTCGAGTCTTACAATTTCTTAAAACGGACTTTTAGATAAAATATTCGTGTTTAAAATCGTTAAGTTTAACGAATACTCGGTATCGAGCAATTATGAGCAGGTTCAATTGCAATCAAATGGGAGCCGCTCCAAGAAATAAATGCTTCTGAACCGATCTACGATTTGAAGAAAAAGCGTATCGAATAATCGATATTAACGCTTCATAGAATCGATTCTGTTTCGGGTTTTCGCTCGTATCTAACGGTTAATAATTTAAATATTGGTAAGTAATATGAAATGAAAAAACGTATGTAGCGTGCTTTCCCACACTAGAGATTCGTTTTGGACGCGTTAAGATTCGAAACTTTTATGGCGTTACTGCTAATTGAAGCTATACAAATAATTGCATAGATTCGTAACATTGGGTTGAGCAGTCATTTGATGATGATGTTTTTATTCTAAAGTGTTTTTATTTTATCTTGTCATGCAACAGTTTCTCCCAATTCTTCCAGGACCTGTTTTCTAAAAGCGTCTCATTTTTGCCAAAGTTTAAACGTCTATTTACGTTTGTTCTTAACATCTCGGTAAGGTATTCCATATCCATCACAGTATCACATATAAGTTTGACGTAAAAATGAGTTTGCCTACCTAATTTGTTCGGAAGGAATATATGAAGGTAATTGTCAAACTTTCAAGAGACATTGATTATACTTTAACAAAAGAAAAGTAATAATTCTCAACTAAGTAAAAGATAACCAAACCAAACCAAAACTTAACAACAGCAGTTACAAAAGTGATACGTGACACAAAGACGAGTAAATGGAATAAAATGATAGACTATTGATTAAAGATAAAAACAAAACATAAAAACCGAAGGTGCCCCTGACGATATTGTTTTAACCTTTACCAAGCCGAAGGTTGAACAATTTGGGCAAGAACTTATCCAATCAAACAATTTTCCGCGTGAAATCGTTTCATTTTGGTGCATTCACGATTTTGCTTTTAATTAATACAGTACCTACTCATTTTGTATGTTGCAAGCAGAATTTTTTACTGTTCCAAGTTTTAAGAATGATAAAGTGGTTTTATGGATGTGGCTGCATAGATGTATGCTTGAATCTCATCAGGTACCTTTTAGTGCAAAAATCGTATAGTTTCATACGTTTCATCAGATAGAAAGTGGTTACCTACCACTGATTTACTATTCTAAAGAAGTATGTGAGTCTGCAAGTAAGATTTTTAAAATATTTAGTAAGTCGTAAAACCAAAAATAACTGTAAAGGAGACTATGACAAACTGTTCTCTCACTGTAAAATACTTCCTGTAAAAGCCAAAGTTCAATATTTAGCCGCTATTGAAAATTATTATAAAACCGAATTTAAAATTAAAGTAATGAATAAATATAATACTAGGAGAGTCCGTGAAAGTAAATATGTATGTCCAAAAGTAAATAATTACTATGGTAAAAGAACAAATAGGTATTTCTTGCCCATTTTATTTAATAAATTTGATTTTTTGAGAGACCGTGATATATTATCTAAATTCATTTTAAAGAAAAAGTTAAAATCTTCTCTTTTAGTAGCCATTTAAATTTAGCTTAAGTAAGTACATTGATTTTGTTAAACGTAGTAAGTAGGTATACTATAGTCTCGAGATTGTGAGTGTATCCTTGCCGACAAACTGCTTTCGCAGTTTGGCGAGAAATTGTATTATGTATTTTTGTATGCCTTTTGTATAAAATAAATAAATAAATAAATGATGTCGACTATATGGAACATAAGACCTCACTTGTGCTTTCGAATGTGTTGATTTTAGCTATTCTTTGATTCGAATCACAGTGGTACAATTTTGTAGTACTATAAATAGTGCGACAGTATCTATCCAGTTGGACATAACACAAATAACCCTATCACCTCTTAGAGTGTTCACCTATAGTGTTGAAATGGAAGTAGGTTCCAAATTTTAACAACCTAATGTGTTACAAACAAAAGAAAGGCAAAATTAAAGGTCACAACCCAACGATGTGGTAGGTGATATTTTAGACTGACATAAACAACAATTGCCAAATTGATCTGCCATCCATAAAGTCTTAAAATCTAATATCTGATATAAAAACTATTAATCAGTATAGAATTTATGCAGCGACAACAACCTTATTGGTCGTAAATTGCGAATATTATTACGAGAACTATAAAATCGCGAGCTCAAAAGCTCCTATTTTGAAAAGATGATATCATGATTCTGTCAAATCGATTATTTGACCGCAATTCGGATTAATCGATACGAGCGATAGTATTCGAGGTTGATTAGTAGTCAATTATGTGTTTCCATAACAGCAGTCATAAAGATTTGGTAGTATTTTGTTGTAATCAATTTAGTCGGCGGTATCCGTTTGAGTTTGAAGTCGTTTATTGGCGTGCCGAATTTACTGACGTCGGTATCGAATGGTCATGCTGTAGAACTCTTTCATTAGCATGTGCTATGGAACCCTATTCATTAGAGCTTTGGTGTCATCCGCTTTAGAAGCTTAGACTCCAAATTACGTTTTCCGCTTACTCTATACTTTTATAATTCACTTTTCATAAGTTTTTTTTATAATGTCAAGTGACATTATAAAAAAAACGCGACAGACGAACACTTGATGGTAAGTTACACGCCTGTCCATAACAGTTGCAGTGTCACTCAGAGCTTTAAATCTCAAAGATCTGAGGGGCACGGCCACTGCTCCCGTCACCCTGAGACATAAGTTGATAAGTCCCATGTAGGCACATGGGGCTTGTCAACTTTTCACCAGCACCCTTACACTTCAAAACCGGAACACAGGAATGCTGACATTACTGTTTGGCGGCAGAAATAGGTAAGGTGGCATTACTTCCCTGGACGAACTCTTTCACAAGGAGCTCTACTACTACTAAATCAGTATTACTTGACTACTGACAGTATGTCAAAAAAAGCATGATGTCTAGTGCATAATTATTTCTGTAAAAAGATTTATATTATATGTACTTGTACACCTATAGTGTCAAACATTTTTAAATTTAATCTTCTATTTTGACTCAAAGAAAAGATAGTTGGTTTCGTTCGGAACCCTCTTCATTTAATAATGGAGAGGCTTTAAGGCGTGTCGAAAGGCCGCCTCAAGAAGCCGAAAGGCAGCCGTTTTATAGTTTATAATTACGTCTGATTGCGGCGTGACCCGCGTCGCTTCGACCTCAGAGTCTCGGGATGGGAGAGATTTAATGCAACCGCACTGTCCATATTAGTTTTATTTTTTCACTTTTGCCCTTGTTTTCCTATGCATATTACATTCACAACAATTCGGGAGTTTTGTGATGAATTAGGGATACGCTAAGTGTTTTAACATTTTACACCACAATGTTTGCTTATGAAATCTTTACCCAATAATAATATGTTCCTGATTTGGTAGTAGAGGGGGAGACGAACCAAGGAATAAAATCCTTACCTATCCACAAGATTATTCCACAATACTAAATTTACAACTTACCAACCAACTTGATATCTTTGTAATTGAAATTCTATTAAAACAAGAAAAATGTAATCTTACCTTAGTCTTGCTCCCGCCAATAGAACCAGGCCTTATAGATCCGGTTTCATAAAACCTCGTCAATATCTTGGACACGCATCCATGTGAGACCAGCAATTGACGGCTGATGTCGCAAGGTCTGACACCCATGATAGCCAGTTCTACTATCCTCTTTCGGACGACATCAGGTAGCGGCCGACCATTTACGAAGACTCCGCCCAGTTGGTTGACACCTGCTTGGCCTGAAAAGGAAATCCTCAATTACAGTTTCTTAGTGGTTAGGAACAACACAATAAATAATAAATAAATAACGCACACACTCAACATAGCTCCGCACTAGGGAAACCCTGTGGCGCGGGTGCCATGGACACACACATAGACAACCACAAATTACACCCTAACTCACGAGAGAAATAATTGTAGGCCATACAACTATTTCTCTCGGCCCGGGAATCGAACCTGGGACCTCTGCGTGGTAGTCCGGCATGGTAACCGTTCGGCCACGGAGGCAGTTACAATGTTACATTATTTTAGTTTCTGAGTTATCAATATACTTTTCCAATTGGTTCTGTACAAAATATTATTCATATTCTAGTTGGTTTTTTACCTGCAAATACTTTACCTTTGTGGCCAGAAGAACGAAAAATTGAAATTTGCGTACCAGTCATTGACTTACAATTATAGTAGTATTTTAACCAAAATTGTAAAAATTGATGAAAAAGAACCTAGGAATGTGTAGATTTTTGCGTGATTATCAAATACCACTATGTACCTATGTAAGTAGGCAGCTATGTAAATACCACTGTAAAAGTCACAAAAGTAATGTTTCAGAGAGCATACTCATTTCTACATACTTGCAGTTGAATTACCCAGAAATCAATAATATCAAACCCGAAACAGAACTTTTTGAAAATTAGTTGCATATTGTAATTATAATAATTATATTTGTTTATCAATGAATATGCTATAACTTAATTTCATAAAACATGACCATAAATCTATGAAGTTTACGCTCGTCAAATATAAGAAATGAGATATATAGACTCGACAAATGTTCTTATGCAATATACAGGAGGGTGGACGGGACATCATAAAAACTATCCATTATGCAAAGGAATATGTTTACGTGTTGCCAAGTACTCTCTGCCTATCTTTTTTTTTTGTAGCAATAGAGTACCATGTGAAAGAATTCCAGGGAAGAACAACCACATTATCTATTTGTGCTGCCAAGCAGTAATTTGAGCAAGTGGTAAGTGACACGCCTATCCGTAACAGTTGCAGTGCCACTCTAAGCTTTAAATCGCAGCTTTAAGAGGCACTGCCACTACGCCCGTCACCGTAAGACATAAGTTGACAAGTCTCATGTGCCTGTAATTTCACCAGCACCCGTACCCTTCGAGACCGGAACGCTATATAAAGCTCACATTACTGCTTGGCGGCAGACATAGGTAAGGTGGCAGTACTTCCCTGGACGAACACTTTCACAAGGACCTCAACTACTGGGTACTGGTGAAATCACAGGCACATGTGTGATGTGATTTTTCAACTTGTGTCTCAACGTGAAGGGCGCAATGGCAGTGCCCCTTAGATCTTTGCGATTTAAAGCTACGAGCAGTACTGCAACTGTTATGGATAGGCGTCTCGCTGACCACCAGGCATACATTCCACTGCTGGGCACGGGTCCCAGTGCTGTTTGGACTTCACACGTGAACATTCTTCAACGTGTAGGTTTCATGATGAAGTTTTCATTCACCGAAAGACTCATGGTAACTTTCATACATAAATTCCGAGAAAGTCAGAGGTGCGAGCCCGGATTGGAACCTACGGCCTCTGCTCGACAGGTGGTAGGTCAAACCATCAGGCTACTTTGACTTCATCCTCCCATTATTTGGTATTATAAAAAAGTCTTTATATTTAATGTCTATCATTTTAAAACAAATAAAGTAACGGAGTTTGTCTCATTTTCTAAAAAAAAAATGGCTCGAAATTTTATCAACCCCATTCCTGTCAGCCAATTGTTATTAATGTGAAAGTTAACTAAAGTGGAAATAATGGAATTGGCGAAGTGTACTCGAGCGTTATAAGAACTTTCACTCGCAGTAAAATTGTAATTTGAAATCATTTGTTGATAATAATCCGGGTCAACGTTGGTGCTTACAAACATAACATTTATTTATTGACTTTAATAAACAAATGTATGTGTATGTAAAAAAGTAGTATGAAATTTACAATGCGCTCTATGACTAAACCTACATGTCGAAGAAGGTTCCCACATTGAGCGAAGGTGGCGGACTATGACCTAACCCTTTGTCTAAGAGGACACCCGTTCCCCGTAGTGGGACTTATGAATGGGTTGATGATGATGATGTAGGCAATGTAAACAAGACCTGCACAAATTATAATTATAAATTAATTAGATGCCATCATCACGATATGAGCTCAGCAGTTAAAACCAATCTTCAATAACTTATATTCAAAAGAAACCAGTTAAACAACAATACAATTAGAAACCAGCTAAATAATTTCGTTGAAGCAATCATAATACAAACTCATTATGAAGAATATACCATTGTCGAACTGATAATAACGAAGAAAACGTCACACATTGAGTTATTTCGCATTAACGGTATACACCTGCACAGTTAATATTTATTTGATTGCCAAATTCACATCACATTTTGTTCCGACTACCTGGATCGCACAAGGGGCGACTATAGACCCAAAATTTTTTTTATAGATCTCAAGATACGATGTCAACGAAATAGGTAAATTTATTGTTTCTCTGTTAATTAGGTTGGTAATAAGGGAGATATTTATCTTTTTGATGTTTTAACGGTAACACGATGTATTTGTTTGTTCAGTGAAATTCCTGTGTTAAATAATAATCTTGATTAATTCCAGAGGAATTATTGTAAATTTGATGCTACATTTCATAGAGGCCACTTCCAGGGCAGTATATGTATATAACGCAGTCTCGGATGAAAATGGTGCAAGATTTTTGATTTCAATACGATACGATGGAGACAGAGGTAAAAAAAAATATTTGTAAACATACACGGTAAATAGAGTTTACATATTTAGATTACTCGTATAGACCAGAGTGTTGCGCCAGAATTTGGCATTCAAATATGAATAGCAAATTCTTAAAGTCATATTACATTATATAATTTGATATTTTTTATGGAATAATATAATTTAAAAGAAAAACCAAAAAAATATTATTTAATAAATAGAGGACCTTATGTCAAAACAATTAATAAACACATAGAGGGACGCAGGCTTCAAATTTTTATTCGAAAAAATTTGGTGAAATTACAGACACAAGAAACTTGTCAACTTAAGTCCTAAGAGCTTAGAGGATTGAGAGATGTCAACCTGGTGACAGGCGCAGTGGCTGTGTCTCTTATATCTTTGCTCTTAGTGGCACTAGACACGCCGCGCGTGCCGCGTACCAAAAATTAAAATTAAAATCAAATATCGAGTTCTTAGGTTTTCGCGATTGTTACACATAGGAAATGAAACTAATTTTCCGGATTTAAAATCAAATGTCAAAAACTCATGTTACAGTTTGAACTGTTGTAATGTCGCAAACAGTACTTTGCGACATCTAGATGTAGGTAACATTTTTATATTGTCTACGTAATACATTATATAATTGTATGCACATGTTGTAGCGGTTCCTTTGGAAACATGTAGTAGTGTGCATATGTCGGGCCAATCAATAGGGATATCGGATTGAAAAAGGAACGTTTTTTGTTATAAATATGTGTTTATATTTGTTAATAGAAATACACATTTTGATTATAACATAATATTGTTCAACACTCGGCCGAAGAGATTTTTAATTCGTAAAGAAGCGTAACACGTGTCGTCTATAGTTTTGGTGGTGGTGTTGGTGATTGTAGTTAATAATAATATACGGTTACTTTCTCCATAAACATAACTGTTATACATGTACAAAATTAGAAGCATATAATAAAATCTTGTTACGTATGTGTTATTTATTTTATGCGAAGAAAGGCTGAGAAAATTAACTGCATGAAAACAATATTCAACATAAGTGCAGCTATTTTAAACGATTTAACCATCACTGAGTTTGTGGAGTAGGAAATTAATTTGCTTCCATTTTATTAACTTGTTATGTTTGATTTATTAAAAGCTTTTTATTTATGATACCAAGTGACGAGATGAACAAGGCATGCGCCTAGTGGTAAGCGACACGCCTGTCCATAACAGTTGAGCCCGTCACCCTGAGACATAAGTTGACAAGCCCCATGTGCCTGTAATGTCACCAGCTCCCTTTACCCTTCTAAATCGGAACGCAATCTCACATTATTGCTTGGTGGCAGAAATGAGTAAGGTGGCAGTACTTTCCTGGACGAACTCTATCACAAGGTGCTCTACTGCTAAGCTTGTAGTTTTCACTGTTTTACAGCGGATCAGTTTCGTTTATTTGAAGCTTGAAAAAAAACATGGCACCAACATAAAAAAGCTAAAACTTTTTATTAATGGCTAAAAAGAGCCATTCCCTTAATTCGAATCCCTAGACAGTTTAAGTCCTTTAACGGCTACTGTAAAGCCGTTATAAAGCAATATAACAATCGACGATCGCGCTCGAATTTATTGCCTTACATAAAATTAGCGTTCTAATTTGTTCGTAGCAATTCGCGTTTATGGGATTTCTTTGGGATGTGCCGGCGGCGTGCGGTAAAGTACTGGATGGAGAGCGAGAACTCAAGAAGTACAACCACTGAACACAATACCAGATACAAAATCTAGTGAAAAGTGTCGTATAGGTAATTTTCTGGGTGTTAAAACTAGTTTTATCGAAAACAACAACTCTAGAAGTAGTATACAGATCTGAAAGCGTCTTTCTATATTGTAATTTTCTTACTGGGGTATCAGTCTATTACTATGGACGTATTGTCCTACGAAGGATTATTATCTTATTTTTATTTTATTTTATTTTTATTGAGGTTTGACCAACGATAATCGTATAGCTAATTGTACAATCAACCATATTATACACAGATTACTCCAAACATAGAATTTTTTTAAATGAAGCATTATCGCTATTGATTTAAAAAAGTACAAAGCTGATAAAGAAAGTAAATTTAAGACACAAAGAAATCAAACGATCTTAGTTTGTTTATTTATTGCGTGTCGAAAAAGAAACCATTTTTTCTCACACGTGAGGCTTACATTTACAAATGTTTTTACATTTCAAAAACCATTTTATATT